GGAGGTGAATAAATAAGAGGAATGTATAACAAGTTAAACGTTTATGACATGCGCGGGTTTAATTAAATTTTAAAATTATGAAAATTTAAGTTGTTTGTCTCAATACCGGGTGCTTGATCTCTTGAAAAAATATTAAATGAACATTTCATTTTTTCTTTCAACAGCGTTTTATACCATCGAAATTAGATTACTGCAAAGTTACATATAAATATCGATAATAATAAAATAGAATTCTACAGTAGATATTTTGATCAAGATTTAAATATAAATTAAATAAAACGAAAAAGAAAAAACTATTTCTAAATCTGTGAGTAGTGCAAAATATTTAACTCTGACACACAATTGTGCATTGAATTATGTAATATTTGCTATAGATAATATTTGTGCGTGCAACTGTCACGTTGAATATAAATGCATTTGAAAAATGAAATTAGTGACGTCTGTCGTTCAACGAAACGACGACAATGTCACATCATTACAAGGATTTGTCATCACATCTGTCGTGCCTGCGGTCGACATCCTGGTGAAATCTCGCCTAAGTCTCATTGTGAAAAACGTATCGATTACACGGGTATCGTTGTAAAGACCTTCGGGTGTCGAGCCTTCGGTAGGTAGGTGCGACTTCCTACGGGTGCTGTAAACACGTCGGGAACCACCGGCTAAACGCCGGCGCTAGAAAAAGAGTCCCACCGTCGTGCGCCCGGCAGGGAGGAGAGGAGCGTGGAAGGCCTCTCAATAGGATGAAAGACGGCGAGGTCGGAATGTCAGTTGGACACGCCCATTGGAAGGTACTGTAATTTGATGCGTTTGTGCGCGGATGCGCGTCACCGGCAAGCGACGCATTTACGCGCGGCTATGTACCTGTATTTGTGTCTCTTCCGCCTCCTCCTTCCTTTCCCGCCGACGTGAAAATTATCCATCCGCGTTACGTCATGTAGAAAAAATATGCGCAGCCCGGTTATACGAAAGAAACGCGATCCGATCGGTATCGACGTGTTGCAAACGCGCAACACGCACGTGGTGTAAATATTGTACGCGGTGCGTCATTCGTAAGCATAAAACGAATATAACGAGTCCTGGTTTCGAGTGAGCGAGGGGAAGATCATAGAGAGTAAACACACGCACACACACACACACCTTCGTTGTAATTTTAATTTTCGTTCGCGCCTACCAGACCGAAAATACAACAACGCTTCTCTCGCGGAAGCTTGCAAGATTTAAGCTAAAATTGGCTTTAAATCCTCTCAATCTATCTTTAATCAATTGGCGAAATTGGCGGGCAATTAAGCGTAAATGAGAGAATAAATGATACCTCTGCGCATTATTAATAATTCTCGCAAATTAATATCGCGTAATGTGATCGCGATAATCACTCACTGTACAGAGAGACGTATCGGCAATCGCCGTTGTAATGATTCATTGACACAATTAATTAATAATGAAGAAAAAATAAAGAATTGTAATTGTCAGCTGACATCTACACTAGCAGCTAGGAAAAGTGCATGCTCACTGATAATGCAACAAGATGGATTCCAGAGAGAACATTCGTTCGAGAAAATATATTCTAAGAAAATAATGTTTTGGTAAAACAGGTGAATTCTCCGCGAAGAAGAAAAAAAGCCTATGATTCGTTTGACCAAAAAAATATATAGTCGAGGTACAAGCAATCGTAACTCTACACTTTTCACTTCCACTTACACGCGCTTTTATTTTTCTTTCCTCTCTCCAGCTTCAAGGCACACAAGTATGCGCTGCTATAAACATGGCAAGTAAACATGGCAAGTGTGAAAGAGTGTAATAAACGAATCTCTCTCTCTCTCTCTCTCTCTCGAGGTTACGAAAGCTTTTGAGACGCTGCGTCGCATCGAAACGCAGCACGTCGCGATAAGGCATGATAAAGGAAAGACGCCATACATACTCCGAAATGCCGGCCGTCCTTCCCAACTGAACGCCTCTGGTCGCAATTTTCACAGCCGCGAAGAAGTCTCCGCTGAGCATCTGCCGTCGATGCCGTCGTCCCACAGTCCGTCGACGCGTTTTTCCGTCGCGATAAACCGACGAGAAACCGCGGAATCCGGCTCGCACACAGAGAGACGCGAAATGGAGGTTACGCGCGTTCCGGCGCGAACAAATGAAGAGCGACGTGGGCGAGCGAGAGAGTGTTATACGATCACAGGCAGTTGAACGTTTCGAAACGCGCGGCTATCGCGTGGTTACCGCGATAATTCGGCGGCGATAACGGTTAAAAAAGTGCCGGGGCGCGAGCTGACCGAAAATTCGAATCGGCCGTGCCACTCTCCGATCTCTCGACGCCACTGAGAGCCGACTGAACCTCCTCGCACACGCCGCGCTCTTGAGTGACCAACTTCAGAGCGCGGAATACGTTCCATACGTCTCGATTTCACGCGTTCGAGATTACGTTACCGCGAGAACGTGCTTCGCGCATATCGCGCACCCGTAATTTTAGACGCGATGCGTTCACTTATTTTTAGATCACGTTTCACATCTCTCGTCTCCGTTTATTTGCGATTTGTGTACTTGATCAATCGTGTTCCACCAATATACGTACTTGATATCATAATGTAATGTTAAATATGTATCTTTAAAAGATACAGAAACGAGTCGCGCGTATTATTACCAACCATATAGTATTTGCGCAAACGATCGCAGGAATGAGAATCGATTAGTACGAAGCAAATAAACGTGACATTATTAAGCGAAGTAACTCGATTTCATTCGTTTGTTAGAGATTCAAATAAATATTTAAATAGATTATATATAAATATATACCTTTTTCTTCCGCGTATCCAAATATATGCATATAATTTACCGCTCATTATTCACTCTGTCTTCTTTTCTTTCCTTTTTTTTTTTTAATTAAATAAGAAGAGTCAATCTTTTTCTTAAATTTTCTAGATAAGCTTGATCACAATGTTTCATAGCTTAAAATTTTTAATTCCAAATATTGCTTCCTTACTTCAAAAGTGACACAACTCAAAGATTTAAATTTCCTAAAAACAAAGAAAACCTGACAGACAATTATTTACCAACCGAACAATATCGGTAAAAAATATATTCTTAACGTAATAAATTGTCTTTTTCTATTATTTTCGTTTCACAACTCTTAGAAAACTGATCTTTTGAGTTACGACGATTTCAACAATTTTTTTATGACGTCGAGTTAGTTCATTCTTTATGACTGATACGTTCATGTTTACTTGACTCATGGCAATAATTTAGAAGTCACGCTTTCTTTAATTGTATTACTTTCGAAGCATAAAGGAGCGATAAGTGAAGAGAATAGTAGTTATAATAAAATTTAGAATATCGATTGTTAAAATGTGAAGTGAAAATTACAAATATAAACAAATTCACTAGATTATTTAGTTTCACGAATCAATACCTAGTAAATTAGCTCGCTCTTTAAATTTTCATTACACGTTAAGATACGCAATCGATGTCTAAATATATAACAAAAGATATATACAAAAATCAAAATAGACAAATGCACTACGTCAAGTGACATTTTCTTCTACGTGCCTTTCCCTCTTGGCAAAATAATTTTTGTCTTCTGTATTTTCAATTAACTAAAATCTCGATGATTGCAGTTATTAATACTTTGGCACACATGAAATCTAATTGCGCTATGAGTGTCAAACTGTCAGTATGGAGATTGTCAGCCGATCGAATTTGCAAATATCTCGGGCACATTCTTTTGACGGCGTTTTCAATCGCAGTGATGCAAATCACGAGTGGATGCGATATCCAGTCTTCATAAAGTTATGCTTGATTAAATATGTATTCGATATATGTGTATAAAAAGCGATTGCAATGCGTTTCCCACCTGCCATTTCACATTTGACTTTTAGATTTTAATTCGGAGCTGAACTTCACGCGGCATATAAATTTATATGAAAGTCGGAGTAAGTTAAATTACTCCCGATGCAGATTATCTCGATTAAAAAACTGCACGTAATACCGCATGACTATAATACATATACACAAACTAACGTGAGAAGAATTATTTCCCGCCGTCCGACGATTCTTTACGACCAATTTAATTTCAGCGCTCCTTAGAAAGCAACCCGATAACAACTATTTTCCGCCGCGACGTCTCCGTAGTAAAAAAAGTATCCCACTCTTCGACTCTAAATAGCTTTATATATATATATATATATATATAAAGCGTCACAATACTTGCATTTTAAGATACGTATTCTCATTAGCCGTGACGCGTGACGCAGCGTGTTATCGGCGTTTACCGTATCGGAAACGCTGAGCTCTTGCGACATTTTCAGCAAACATACATATCGCTGCGATTATCACGTGTAATTTTTTTCTCACGATAACGCGTCGAGGCCGCGACTCGCGATGAATTTTCGGAAAAACAGTCGCGACGGCGCGACGCACAGAGACGCGCTGTTCTCAAGCCGCGTGACGTCATCCCGCGCGGCCGACGGACGCGCGACATATGTAGGTATACACGTATTATATATATATATATATTTTACGCATACACACTAATCATGTAAAAGCGTACGATACAAATATATACGCGGCCATGCGGAAAACGTCATCCATCGCGAGACCTCACTCCGCGGATCGCCCCCTAAGCGCGTTCAAAAATACTAGCGGAAGTGCCTCCGAGTATCATTTTATTTTTGTACAACATTCAGTAACGATAAGGATAAAAGTGTACGCGAGGAAGACTCCAAGTAACGAGTTTCAACGCCGGTTGTCGAGCGGGAGAATCTCTCTCTCTCTCTCTCTTCGGGTGAAACTACTTCATTACTCCGCGTCGAAGAAAAGTTGACGACAAGGATTGAAAAAAAAAAAAAATGATACCCGGCTGTACTCGTGTATTTTTAAGAGCCGTACCTACGCGGACGCGTCACACCCACACCGTTTGTTTCGCAACACGCACGCACGCACGTATACGCACATGACAGGTGTGCCCGATAGCGAGGACCACAGAGAATAGGGAAGTTTGTATGCATTACCTTGCTCCGGAACACGCGAAGGATTCAGACGCCGTGATGTCGGTCACCTTGGCGCGAAAAGATGCGGATTCTTTTTTTTTTTCTTTTTATCTCTCTCTCTCTCTCTCTCTCTCTTTCCCTCGCTCTCACGTTGCGTCGTCTCGAAATCGCCTTCTGGATGCCACTGGATAACACAAGGTGAAACTTCCGCGCCGGGCACTTACGAGATATTCTACGTCAAACACCACTGCTCCGGAAAAAAAAAAAGAGTATCCTCGTCGGCTCTCACTTTACTGTAAAATCCCGACGCGTGTGATTTTCGCGAAAGCACGATCCGCGCACGCACGGACGACGATCGTACGGTACGATCCGTGCGAGTTTATCACGAATGGGAAAAATAACGATCGCTCTCTCTCTCTCTCTCTCTCTCTCTCTCTTCCTCTCACACGTCAGCCGGCTCGGGTGCGCTTTGCTGATCCGTCGCTGCACCACGGTTCCAACTCATAATCAGCTTTCCCCGATCACACGAGATCCGTTTTTTTTTTTCTTCTTTTCCCTCTCGGATTCGCGCGCGCTGCCGCTTTCTCTCACTTGCTCTTTCCTTTCGCGCTTCTCACGCCGTCCCTTTCTCTCTTCCTACTCTCTGCTTTCTCTACTCCGCACGCGCGATACGTTCCTGATGTTTGCTGACGATCCGAAAATGTCAAACGTCAGTGCGAGTCGCTGACTACGAAGTACGCGCGGCCTGGACAAGTGTTGCAGCACGACGACGACGACGACGACGACGTGGGTGACGAGGAGGACGATGACAACGACGGCGACGTACTACGTGTCGCGACGATGACGACGACAGCAATAGTAGCAACGGCAGCTGGCGGCGGCGGCGACGGCGGCGGCGGCGGCGGCGGCTACGGCAATGGCGACGTACGTCGGGGGCGACGGCAGACACAACGACGTCGTTGATACGAACCGGCGCTGAACGGAAACGGGTGTATATTATAATGCAGCTGACGGAAGCCTCGATGCGATTTTTTGAGAGAGGGTGAAGAGGTAAGGCGAGCGATGCTGGTTAGGCGACGGGATTGCGACTGCTTACTGCTTGCTTGCTAGCCGCTAGCGGGGACCTGGCGCGACAGCAACTGCCCGACGGCAGCGCCCCTCTCTCTCCCCCTTCTCCCGTTCCAGCGAGCCCCTCCACCGCCCGTCGCGCGTATTCCCCTTTCCGCCCCCTCCGCCTCCCTCTCCCCAGCAGCTCTCCGGTCCGTCTCGCCCGCGCGCGTTTCTTTCTCTCTCTCTCTCTCTCTCTCTCCCTCGTCATCCCACCACATTCCAACGTTCTCCATCGCGTTCTGGAAGTCTCTCTCTCTCTCTTTCGCGCCCGCTGAATATCCTCCACCGCGTTCCTCTCCCCACCCCCGCTGCCGCGCTGACCCCTCTCTTTTTCTCCACCCTGGAACTCATCTGTCGTCTCGCTCGCATCCATGATATAACTCCGCTTCTACCTTCCTCCGTGCTCCCCTTCTAGTTCCACCGCCTCTCGCTCTCGCGCCTACCAGAGATACATCTTTTTTCCTTCCCTATATCCTCCCGCTACACGGCTAAATTTTCCCCTCTCCCTCTGCCTCTCGCTTTCTCTCTCCCGACGACTTGTGTCATCTCGCTCGCTCGCTCGCTCGCGCGATGCCACGTCGCCACCACCGCCACACCGCTACCGCCGCCACCATCGTCGTCGACGTCGCGGCCGTGGTGGCGGCGGCGGCAACGACGACGACGACGAGGCCGCCGACCGCCCCTCTCTACGGCTCGATAAATCGCCTCGGCGCGCATGCTCCGCGTTTCCCTCCCCCCCCGTTTCCCCTCCGCCTCATCGTTCTCCATATGACCGTAACTCCGTCCTCGTCTCGTTCCCGCCGCCTGGCGCGACCCAGCCTGCGCGTTCCTTCTCGCTCGTTTCGCCTGGAGAACCGGCAATGGGGTTAGGGTTAGGTTAGGTTAGATTTGGTCGCGCATCGCCTGCTGACTATCACGCCGCTCGCGGGTGGAGGGGTTTAGTCAGTCATCCCTTCCCTCCGCTCCCGGCGTCTCTCGCAGTCTGACCTCTCGCGATCTCCTTCCTTCCGCCGCGTCGCGCCGCGCCGCGCCGGTACCAACACGATGAAGGAGAACCTGCCGCACGCGTTCCGCACGTCAGAGTAATCTTGTTTCACCTCGCGCGCGAGGAAGAGTATGTAAAAGAAGGAGCGAGAAAGAGAATGATAAAGCCCGAAAGGCGGTGGGAGAGATGCATGCGTAAGGAAGGGAATCAAGCGAGATCCGAGGAAAATTCTTTATATCAACGCGCCGATGCCTTCAGCGCGCGCGGGTACGACGATGAGAAAAGATTCTCGAGTACGTGTGTGTGTGTGATGGAACGTAGGATCACCGGGCGTATTTTTCACGGACATCACGACGTGCCGAAAGTGTCGCGAAAACGATCTGATTTCGATCTCGGGGCGCGTTGCTCGACCAGATTTCCGGTCACTGTAGTATATATATACTCCGAAATTCTCGATCGGATATCTTGCTTACGCTCGCGATTCCCTACGATTGTTTCCCCCGCACGAATTTGCGAAACTGCATTCAACGGGAGGAAGAGGGAGAGATTAAAGCGAAATACGCAACGTCGCATCTCCGTGCTGTTTAGACCTCTTATCCGCTCGTAATCCCGGCATTCCCGGCTCGTGTGTGTATTCACGTATACGGTTTAACGCGGTACTTCCCAAACTTTTCGATTCAGCAAACGCCTAAATTCACGAGGAAATCTCCGAAACCTCACTAACTTAATAATTAAAATCTTGTTACGCATATAGAGCGATTGTCGCTGAAAAAAAAAAAAAAAAAAACGAAAACTAATCTAGTGCGAAATTGTCGGTTCAATTTGAATTATATCCATTCGTAAAATGTGAGGAAGCTTATTATACTTTACGATTGCATTTTAATGTTTGACTGTAGAACGCTTAAGTAATTCGCGTGTCCATAAACCAGCCTTTATAGTTGTAAATTAGAAAAGTAGAACACATCGAATATTTTTCTTCACCTTTTGCAATACCGAAGAATGGAGAAAAACGGAACTTTACAGAAAAAAAATGATACGAAAATTAATATCTTGTACGAAACGTCATGTATTGTTATCGGTTTAATTCAAATTATTCATTTCTTACATGCGAAAAAGTTTATTATGTTTTAATGATTGATCGCATTTTAATGTTCGACTATAAAACGCTTGAGCAATTCGCGTGTCCTGGCCTTCATAGTATATTTATAAATTTAGATACAGTCCTTTCGGGCAGTTGACTAGTTTTGCTTTGCTTTTCGTGTGATTTATTTTCGAGATTTTCTTTGAATATACATTATATGCTCTTGCTGTACGTATTATTATAAAATAAATGACATCATGAATATTTTCAACTCATGAAAATTCATACAACTACTTAAGTATTAACACGTCGAGTGTCGGCAAAGTTTTCTATGCAAATATACCGAGTTAATTTGTGCAACAAACCCATTTTAACAAATAACTTCAAATATATGTATGTTCATACAAATTCAACTCTCAATTTGGAAAAATTTATTTATCAGATGCAACGTGTTCACGCATAGAATCTGTTTTGATAACGACTGAAGACGTGGTGGCAAAAGTGAAAGATTTAGCAATCTCAAAATTTCAACAAAAACCTCCGTTCAAATTTATTTTACACAAATCTGTATATACATATATATATAATACATTCGTTTTTATTGATGTCCGACCGAATCCGCGATTATTAGTATTATTATCTGGCAAACGACTTATCTTTCACGAAACCTGTCTTGTTTTCTTATTTATTTGTTTCTAAAATACTGAAAATTTTTATGTAAGTTTCTATTGCGCGTAACCCTAGTAGAATACAATGTTATCAATATTGAACGATACAGTATTGATACAGTACCGGCCAAAAGTATATCACCTTTAGGTTTTCTGGACATAACTTCCATCAAAATAAATCGAATGTACTTAAAATTTTATAGACACCTAATAACAGGTACACCTTGTGCATGTACGATAAAGTGTGACACACAAAATATATCAAGATTTACAAAATCTCTATTATTGATTTTCATGAAATCGCGGTTTTGCGTTTCCATTGTTTTTCGTATATTCTATCGCTGTTTTTACAGCTGTGGTTTTAGTGATCAGTTTAATGCTTCATAATATTGCTAACTTTTAAACTTGTTACATATATAACGACTCAAAGTTTATTATTTAATTTAATTTATTTTTGAAATGTTAAATAAAATTATTTTTTTTATTTACACAAATTATTTGTATTATATAACGAAATCTTTTTTTAATTAAATTCTTCAAAAAATCTAGAGATGATATACTGCCGATGTAATGTATTTTACGTATAAAGAAATATTAAATTCTTAATTAATGTAATACATGTTTTTCATACATTTCATTTTTTTAACAATAAAATATTTGTTGGTCTAGATTTTTATAAGCACAAATAACTTAATTATTATTCAATTGTGTAAGTGTGTGTGTCTCCGTAATGTTTAAATAAAATATACGTACAATAATATGTGCACAAAACATAAAATTTGAAATCACACTCTTTGGTATAATAAATCGTCAGGTAATCTATTACCTGATTATATGACGCAATTAGGACCTTCGAATGACCATTGAACGTATAGCTTAGCGCTCAGTGACCTCGCTCATTTATACATATGTAAAAACGTATTGATAATATTCTACGATTATTTTCCTATGCAACCCGTACTGCACTTACAATTCTGTATCACCTACCGCTTTACGACTATAGCATACGATATCATGTGCGGCTGCATCGACGCATTGATCACGTAGAGCTAAGAAACCAGAATAAATATAATCTATTGGACTTTCTAAGAATCATTAAGCTTTGTTTTCCTCTCGTTTCTACAACCAACCTACTTATACGTTTCCGATTTTTATGCGGGTGTTAACTGTAACGGGTATCAACTTAACGGTGTTAACTGTACGCACACAACGTTTACGATAAATGCAAAAATTCATACATTTGTACAGGAAAGATTTTATTTCAAAAAGGCTTTGTTTGTCGAAAATAAACATTAATTAACATTTTATTAATAACGAATGCATTCTGTCTTAATGCAAACAAAAAATCTGTGCAAAAGTAATTGTATTTATGATCTTACGATTAGAAGTAAATATTTCTCGACTATACGAATATTTTTTCATGCGTCCAATATAATTTTTTATTTTTACTTATAAGATATTTTATAGTTATTGCACTTTTTAAATTAATTATGAGAAATATATAAATTGCTTTGTTAATATTATAAATTATTAATTAATGTTTATTTCTTTTAAATAAAGTTTGTCTGAATAAAATATCTTCCGTATATACGAATATTTTTTGCACTCGCTATATAGATATATATGTATGTATATTACGACGAGTATCTGAACCATTGAATTTTTTTATCATCGATCTCTTTTTATTATTGATCTGACAAAACGAGCAACTTCGAAAATACAGCAAATCAAAAGCGAACAACTTTCAATGAATATGATCAGCAATCTTGTGAAGAAGATTACAAACGATTTTCGCGGAGTTCGCGACATCTTATACTTTAAATTTTCGAGATCTTTCGAGTATCCTCTTGACTGCGACATCTTCAACAGTCGATTTAATAACAATGAGTTTTAATCTTCTACCGATTGGTTTTAATACATGAATATAGAAAGATTGTTATTTCCTTTGCTTCTATTATATTTATAAAGGGTATTTTAATGAGATTATTATTTCAACGAGAATACTCAATATA